CCCCCCCCTTGGCCCCCACGGCTTGCGGTGCGGCCAGGGCTGGGGGGCCCCACCATGCCGGGTGGATCACACGTCTTGAGGGGAGGAGGAACTGCAGGCGGCTGCCAGCTGCCCTGCTCCCACGGAGCAAGTCTTTGGGGAAACCGAGGCACCGGTGGCTTCAACAGCCTCCAGGGCTCCAGCTCCCTGCAGCTCGGCTTCCCCATCGGCTGGGGACGTTGGGGTGGGCATGGCTGTGCCCCTGCCCTCCCGCCAGGAGAGGGAGGAGAGGGAGGAGGAGGAGGAGAGGGAGGAGGAGAGGGAGGAGGAGGAGGACCGACGTACCAGGTTCTCCAGCAGCACCGCCTGGTATGTGATCTTCGCCGTAGCCTGAAGCCCGCTGTGAACAAAAGGCAAAACGAGCATCAATCCCATGGGCACAGCAGGATCCGGCCCACAGTGCACCAGGGCGCACCCCCTTCCCCATGGGGCCAGGCAGCCCACACCGAGCTGCGGGGACAGAGGAAGACACAGGGAGGCAGCAGCAGCGAGACTCCCCCTTCCCGGCCGACCCCTGCATGGGTCTCTGTCTCCCAGCACCGTGCCTCAGTTTCCCCCACTCACAACCCCACAGCAGTGAGGCTGATTTACCACGTGGGAGGACCACCGAGGGGGTCCCAACGCTGTAAGCGGTGGGGATAACCACCAGCAAAGGTGGCATGCTGACAACCAGCCAGTGGGACTAATTTGTACTGAGAGTCCTGCGGGGCCTGGCCCAGGCCACTGTCAGTCCCTGCTGCCACGTGGGGATGTGTGGAAGGGCTCAGGCCCCGAGGAAGGGGTGGATCTGCCTCGTGCCCTCCGTGGAAGCACATGTCTCTGCCCCAGCTGGCCTCACACAGCATGAGCTGGAAACCGGCCCAGCAAACGCGATGTGCTGCGGGACAGCCCCCAGGGCAGCCCCCGGCTGTCACGGCCAGGCAGGGGACCCGGCACAGAGCTATGGCCTCGCCCAGCTCCCTCCCACTGCCCCAGCCCGTACCGCAGCAGCGCTCCCAGCAGCTTGGTGACGTTGTCTGAGGACTGGATCACGATCACAGGCTTGGCAAGAAACTGGGGAACATCCAGCTGCACCAAAGAGGAAAGCAACTGCTGTCAGCAGGGCAGGAGACCAGCCAGTTCTGTCTAACACCTTTATCCATGATCTGGACGAGGGGATTGAGGGCGCCCTCAGTCAGTTTGGAGATCACACCAAACTGGGCAGGAGTGTGGATCTGCTGGGGGGGAGGTGGGCTCTGCAGGGGAACCTGGCCAGGCTGGATCCATGGGCCCAGCCCAATGGGGTGAGGTTCAACAAGACCAAGGGCTGGGTCCTGCCCTGGGGTCACAACAACCCCATACAACACTACAGGCGTGGGGAAGAGGGGCTGGAAAGCTGCCTGGCTGAAAAGGACCTGGGGGTGCTGGTCAGCACGCGGCTGAATATGAGCCAGTGGTGTGCCCAGGTGGCCAAGGGCATCCTGGCTTGTATCAGGAATAGTGTGGCGAGCAGGAGCTGGGGCGGGGGTCAGTCTCTGCTCCCAGGGAACGGGCAATGGGACGAGGGGAAAGGGCCTCAAGTTGTGCAAGGGCAGGTTTAGGTTGGACATTGGGAAAAATTCCTTCCCCCCAAGAGCTGTCAGGCACTGGAAGGGGCTGCCCAGGGAAGGGGTCGAGTCCCCATCCCTGGGGGGATTTAAAAGCCAGGCAGCCGAGGTGCTTAGGGCCAGGGTTTAGTGGTGGGATGGCAGGGTTAGGGGAACGGTTGGGCTTGCTAAGCTTAAAGGGCTTTTCCAATCAAAGCAATTCCATGATTCTATGGTTCCATGCCCCCATACCTCCCGGATGGTGTTCTGGTTCAGTGCCAGGATGAGCAGGGCTGACGCCCCCAGCACCAGGGCTCGTTTCATCTGCGGAGACAAAGGGCACAGGCTCAGAGGGCAGGACAGACAGGAGGACATGCTGCTGGGCCCTGCCCTCGTTCAGCACCTGTCCCACTGCAGGGAGCAGCCAGCACCCAGTGCCTCTTTGCCCTGGCTGCAGCGTCGCAAAGGACCCAAGAGGGACTGGCACTACAGGCTGGGACCCCCCATTTGGTGAGGAGACGCCCCAGGAGGGGGCTTGTGGCTGGCAAATGCCACGGCAGCCCCGGGGCAGGACAGAAAGTCACCTTGCTGACAACGGCGGCGGTGAAGGACTCCTCCTTAGCACCCCAGGGAACCTCACCCGGCTCCTCACCCACCGGCACGACACCGATCCAGTTGTCGGCGGCGCCCAGCTCGGGCTCCGCGTCCCCCACCTGCAGGGGGCACGGCAGCATCAGCGAGAGCCGGGATGGATGCCCGAGGGTCACGGCACCCCCAAAGCACCCCCACATCCCCAGGGGAGCCGGGCACTGCATGGGGACAGGGACAGCAGCTGGGGGGGCCCAGGGGACAGGACCCTGCCCCCCCCGCCCCCCCCCCCCCCAACCCCCCCCCCAGCCACTCTTCCCCAAGCCTGTCCCCTGAGGCAGTTACCAGCCCCTCCAAAGCCACGACGGTGGCCATCATCCCCTCTGAAGCCACCACGGCAGCCACCAGCCCTGCGGAGGCCACCATCAAGGGAACAAG